ACGAATAGTCTTGCAGCACCTTAAAGACTAACAAAACAAGTAGCTGGTATCATGAGCTTTCATAGGCACAACTCACTTCTTCATTTTATATTGGTTAGTGAACCATTATTAGATTGATCTGGATTTGAACTAGTAACATGAAGGAGAAAGTGTCTGTGTCCCACTACCAGCAACTTGAGTCATTTTATTCCTTGTTATTTTTGTTGCACAATACTGTTTCTAATGCTATAATAACCCTATAGTATTTACATACTAGTTCTTATTTGTCTTTAATGGTTTCCATAACAAGATCCCATCTTCCTTTCACTCCTGTTTTGGCAGATCTGTGGGCATTAGAATTTTACTCCTAGTTTGTCATTAAGCACATCAAAACAACTTTATATGTGTAAGTCAAAAACTGGAAATGTGCCTCATTTAAATATTCTTGCAGGTGCTCTCAGTTATAGGTTGAAACCAATTCTGCAGGCACTTGAAAACACTTATTTTGAGGGGGCTTGGGAGTTTATAACTTCAGTTGGCATTTTCAAAGGACTCTGACTTGATTGGCACAAATTATTATTAGTAATTATTAGTAGTAGTAGTTCTATTTAGTTAAATACAAATGAAAAGCCTTCTTAACATCCATTAAAATGCAGAGTGCTGCTTAGTGTAAGGCTTGGGACATGTCTATAGTTGAAGGTTTTTTCAGTATGGCTGTGTCTAGACTGGCCAGTTTTTCCAGAAAATCAGCCGCTTTTCCGGAAAAACGTGCTGTCTACACTGGTCGCTTGAATTTCCGCAAAAGCACTGACTTCCTACTGTAAGAAATCAGTGCTTTTTGCGGAAATACTATGCTGCTCCCGTTCGGGCAAAAGTCCCTTTTGCCAAAACTTTTGCGCAAAAGAGCCAGTGTAGACAGCTGAGATTTGTTTTCTGCAAATGGTGATTGGGGCTTTTTTGTGCAAAAGCGCGTCTAGATTGGCCACGGATGCTTTTCTGCAAAAAGTGCTTTTGCAGAAAAGCGTCCGTGCCAATCTAGACATGCTTTTCCAAAAATGCTTTTAACGGAAAACTTTTCCGTTAAAAGCATTTCCGGAAAATCATGCCAGTCTAGACGTAGCCATATTATAGGTATACCAGTACACTATACTGGTAGATTATGTCTACACTACGAGTTTTTGCAGCAAAAAATATGTTAATGAGGTACTCATTTGCATAAATCACAATCTCATTTGCATATTTTCTGCCAATCCGATTTGGGGGGGGGTTGCACAAAAACAAGCAGTGTGGACGTTTCCTTTTTGCGCAACCCCTTTTCCTGCCAGATCCTTATGTCCCCAAAAAGGAGGCTTACTGATCTGGCAGGAAAAGGAATTTTTGTGCAAAAAACCCCGTCCACGCTGCTTGTTTTTGTGCAAAAAAAGCTTGCATAAATTATGCAAATGAGCTGCAACTATATGCTAACCCACATCTCATTTGCATACTCACTGCCGGCAAAATCGGCAGTGTAGACATAGCCGTAATGTGCTATGCAGCTTATACCAGCAAAACTGCATTTTTTCCTGTATATATGTTCTAGTCCCTCATAATGAAATAAGTTTTACTGGCAAAAGCCCAGTTTTGCTGGAATAGCTAGGTCTACAATAGAGGATTTTGCTGGCATAGCTATGTTGATCATAAATCATGCCCATCTCATCCCTGACAGACACAGTTATCCTGACAAAAAGTTTATAGTATAGACCTGGTCTTCATATAAAATCCTCATGATGACAAGACACTTGAATTGTAAGTCTGTTGGAGTAAACAACTATTTTTGGTTCCGTGTTTATACAGTGCCTTGCACAGTGAAATCCTGGTCTATGACTGGTGCCCTTAAGTGCTATCATAATACAAATACAAAGTTCTAGTAATAGGAGTTTTTACCTCACTGTTGCTAGTTGTGGTAAACCCTGGGCATTATGGTGGTGACCTCAACTAGCTTCATTGAGGTAACCTGAGTGCTTTGTCTCCCCTAGCATCTTACACTATCTCAATGTGAAAAACAATATCTTTTATTTTTGCAAAATTTCTGAAGGTGGCTAGCAGGAATTTTTTAGGGAAGGGGGGAGATGAGGACTTTTTTCCTTTTGTTCTTCATCCGGTCTTTTACGCAGACACTGGTGACAGATCTAGCTTTATCTGCTCCTACTTTGTTAGTGGTCAAGTTGTGTGTAATGGCAGGCTCTCAGGAAATCATGGGTACAGCGTGGGTGGGAAAAGACAACAAATCAGCCAGTGCATGTACACATTTCAAAATGCTAGCTATACTCCTGTTGTGCCTAGTGTAACAAGCCCATTCTTCTCAATCAGTAGGGGCCCACAAGTAAAATAAAAACCTAAAATAAGGACCACCACATAATACAGGACTTTACAAGTTGTATTTGAGGTTATTAATTTGGGGTCTTTTGTGAGGCTGAGCACCAAAATTTCTGGTTTCCTCAGCAAAGTTTTTAAACATGCACACAAAATATTTGAGTCACATATATATACACACTCAAACACTAGGATTTTCTTTACCATACATAACATCGGTTTCATGATTCAGCATTTGTGATGTGAATAATTTACTTTCACAAAGGAGAAACAGCACCAGGCTTGCCGGGGAGAAAAGTAAAGGTCACTGTGAAAGAAGAGAGACTGACCATCCCTCAGAGTGGACAGTTAAGGGTTTGCTGTGGTCTTGAAATATTCTAGCAAGCTGCTGAGGAGTTGGCAACAGGGGAGAGGGCTGTGTCAATGAATGAGGGAGAGCGGCACCATCTCCAGAACAGAAACACATTCACCAAAGTCCTTCCTGGCAAAGAGGGGCAGATTTAACACTGCAAAACTGACTCTCTAGGCAGAGAGGTGGGGGGAAGCAGGCGTCTCCTGCCCTCCTCCCAGTCTCCCTACCAGGGCTGCGCGTTTGGGGCGGATCCGGGATGAAAGTCCAGATGTGCGCTGCGCCGCTGGGGTAAATAAGGCAGCTAACCGGCCCGTCCTGCTCAGGTATCAAGCCCCAACGCCCATACATGCGGCATGACGGCATCTCCCCAGGGCGGCTTCCTCGCCCTATGCCCGGACATTAGGGCACCAAGCCGCGGATCTCCTTGGAGCGACTCCAGCGGGCTGCGGGACGCATTAAATCCCGTGTAATAATGAGTCTTAACCCCCGCGGAAACCTTCCACGCTGCCCAGACTTTGTCTCAGAGGGCCAAGCCCTGCTCGCTCCTGTGATGCGAGCTAAGCTCCTAGGCCCTCCTCCCCTCCAGCACTGCTGCGCCTCAGAACATGCCAAAGAGACTCCCGGGGCCCTGCACACTGCGTGCACACAGCCTGACTCAGAGCAAAGCTGCCACATACACACGGGGCGCAGAGGTTGCTTCCACGCTGCCCAGACTTTGTCTCAGAGGGCCAAGCCCTGCTCGCTCCTGTGATGCGAGCTAAGCTCCTAGGCCCTCCTCCCCTCCAGCACTGCTGCGCCTCAGAACATGCCAAAGAGACTCCCGGGGCCCTGCACACTGCGTGCACACAGCCTGACTCAGAGCAAAGCTGCCACATACACACGGGGCGCAGAGGTTGCACAAGGAACAATCGCCATTGGGCTCCGTAGGTGTGTACTAAACACTCTGCATCTGAGGGGTCAGGGTTTCCCCTGCCGACGTATAAGGAGCACATGCGTGTGTTAACACCACACACACATGCTTATCCAGGGAAATGACAGCTGTGTGCGTTTGGGGCTACATTCTGCTCTCCACCACTCGGCTGCCAAGCTGGATTGCCTCTAATCAGTTGGCTGGCTCCGCGTCACAGGGGTGCACACGAGAGCAGCATTTGCTTCCTCCCTGGCCGGAGACCCGCTCCCTACAGGGCCGTGTTTGCTTAGCCAGGTCTGTCTACACCCAGCGCCAGCTCCCTGGGAGCCGCCCGCAGCCACGGCGGGGCTGAGCGCATCCACCACTCGGCTGCCAAGCTGGATTGCCTCTAATCAGTTGGCTGGCTCCGCGTCACAGGGGTGCACACGAGAGCAGCATTTGCTTCCTCCCTGGCCGGAGACCCGCTCCCTACAGGGCCGTGTTTGCTTAGCCAGGTCTGTCTACACCCAGCGCCAGCTCCCTGGGAGCCGCCCGCAGCCACGGCGGGGCTGAGCGCACTGGGTGTCGCACGCTCCGAGCCCAGTCCCGGCTCCCGGGCTCCGCACTTTCCCCGCAGCCGCCGCCAGCCCGGCACCGACAGCGAGGCCGTG